CCCCGCTGGTTTGGCCTTGGATGCTCTGGGCCAGCGTGTCGGTAACTTGAGCTTCCCATCCCTTTGGGGCACAGCCTTGGCCTGGGGGCTCCTGGAAGACGCTGACAGGCTAATGAGGAGGTGGGATGATCACAGCCACCATTTGTGAGCACATGTGAGCACCCATGCCCCCTCCAGCGTCTTCCCCTTCAGCCCCCGCCACCCTTCCTGATAAGATCCCTACTGCACGACCTCCCTGTTTACAACTGTAATCTGCTCCCCTCTGTCCCAGGGACCCCGACATCCTGAATGACTTTTTTCCATAGCACTTACCACCTACGACACACTTTATAACCAGTTACTCATTATGTGTATTATTGATTTCTGATCAGAGGTAAGCTCCACGAGAACAGGGAGCTTTGTTTTTGTTCACTGAGGTAGCGCAAGAGCCCGGAACACTGCCTGACACCTCACAGATATCCGTAAGGAGTTGGTGAGTGACTGCATGGTGGGGCAGCTCTGGAGCTGTGTGAGGCGCTCTGGATTAGAGCAAAGATCTGGGCTCTCCTCTTGTCCTGCCACCCCAAAACTGCACCATCCTGGACCAGTTATTAAATCTCCCCATCCTCGGTTCCCTTGCCCATAAAATGGGGATGCTAACACTCTGCTAAGAAGATTAAATAGATTACCCCCGAAACACACACACACACACACACACACACACAACTGACTAACATCAACCTCTCGGAACAAGAGGAAAGCTCTTTGTAAACTGGTTTAAAAAAAAATAGCATCCAGCTACTGCTAGGACCCTGCCTAAGGATGGCTCATGGAGGACGCCCAGGCCCTTCTCTCCTCTCTCTGGCAACAAGGCTGGGATGAGGGAGCCTGGTGACTCTGGCCTAACAGCCATGGTGACAGCAGCAGCGAGACCCTCCCCAGCTCCCGTTGTTTACTGCCTGCCCTGACTCACCCTCTTCTCTGATGCATCTTCTCATACATATGAAACAACATCTGTCCTTTTCTTACTTCTCCCCGGCAACTCCCCCAGAGCTGATCTCTCCAAAACAGGCTGGCCGCTGACATTTGTGAGACCCAGGAGCTGGCCAGTCCGTCAGGGGCAGAGGGCTTTCCAGCGCTGCTTGTAAATATCCCTCGGATCGAAATGGCTTTGTCGCCAGGAAACAAAATGGCCCTTTGTAAATTCCAGTCCCTTTCTGATAGGTGAGAGATGGCACACACATCAGTCTACGAGGCAGAGCTGTATGCTATTATATTTCAAAAATGTACTTTTCTTGTTTTGTTTTAATGAGGTCAAAATGTCCCTTTAAAGTTTTCACCTGAGCTTTTTGATCAGACATGAAAGAAACAGATCGACAGGTCCTGGCCTTTGCAGAACTCCCCAAGGACAGCTCGCGTTTGATGTGCCAGCTGCTCGTGATGGAGCCCGTGAACCTGGCGGACACACTCCCTGCCTTTGGTACCCCTTCTCCTCTGAGCCTCTCTCCAGGCTGCAGCCAGAGTGACCCATCTGAGCTGCAAACAGAACGTACCACTGCCCCACTGTTGCCTCAGAGCCAGCACCGGACTCTCTGCAAAGTTTACAAGGAAGGCCCTTCACTCGCTGGCCCTTGCTTATTTCTCCAAGTGGGTCTCTATATCCCAACTCTATGCCCACCCCAACATATCACTTTGAGATGTTGCCCACTTCACGTCAAAGTAATCCAGCTAAAAGCATTCCCTAGGTATGTGGTGAGGGGATACCAAGTCCATCGAGGCAGCCCTAGTATATACAGGGCCACTGTAAGCTGTAGAGGTTGCGCACTGCACCGTTCCCGGGCATGCTAGTCACATGTGGTACGCAAGGTACTATCCTGAGAGAGACATGCCATAGAACAAGAATGCTACAGACGTATCCATATACACAGCACCAGGTAGAAAGCGACAGGTGAGAAATAACATGCTTTAAGAATTTTTAAAAAGAAGCTACTTATTTAATGACTCCTAGTTTTTTTGTTTGTTCGTTTGTTTGTTTTGTTGTTGTTGTTTGCCTCTTGTTCATATCTATAATCTCCCGGCTTAAAATTCAACTCCTCCAATCCAACCTGAATAATTAAAATTAATTTAAAGGAACTCCTCATAACTTGTGTGCTATACTTTGATTTCATGGGCATAGCATGGGCAGAGAGTGGAGAGTTTTCATCCTGACTAGGAGGAGGGGGAGGCAACTGAGAAGGGATTTAGAACAAGAATGATGTATAGGGCCCAGCTGGTGTGGCTCAGTGGTTGAGCATCAAACTATGGGCCAGGAGGTCATGGTTCGATTCCTGGTCGGGGCACATGCCCAAGTTGTGGGCTTGGTCCCAGAGTGGAGCATGTGGTTTTCTCTCATTGATATTTCTCTCTCTCTCCCTCTCCCTTCCTCTCTGAAATCAATAAAAATATATATTTTAAAAAGAATAATGTATAGGGATTGTTTAATGTTGTTTGCTGTAGAATAGCTTCCAGAAATGCTCTGAGGTCTTTTGGGAGCTTTAGTTGGGGTCCTTCTTGAAACAGGTGGAATTCTTCAGCTATGAGCCAAGCAAGAATTGTGTGTGTGTATATGTGTGTGTGTGTGTGTGTGTGCGCGCGCGCATTACTTACTGGCTTAAGGTTTGAAACGACTGATAGCATAAGAAAAGGTGAAGGAATACAAGGTTAAGGGGGTGGGGGGGACCCCAAAGTTAAGGGGAAATAAAATTGGTGCAAAGAAGAAATTGGATAATATGGATAATATATATTTGATCAAGAAATCCCCCTTTTTAGGAACATAACTTAAGGAGTTAACAGAATGACAGTTGAACAAGTGTTTATAAGTATATGTGCAAAGGCATTCACTTCAGTATATGTATACTAATGAAAATTAGAAGCTATCTGAATTGGTTGGTTAAATAAAGTATATACATGCTACAAAACTCTGTGCAGCCTTGAAAATGATGAAGGAGACCTGTATTTATTAACAGGTAGAGGTTTCTTCTGCACGTTACAGAATGAAGAAAACATTATGAAATACATGTAATATGATCCCATTTATGGAGAATTATATAGTTATATCCATACATATACATATATAGTAATAGAAGTATAGGAAGATGTAACAAAATATTTATAGTGATTTTAACCAGTTATGAAATTTTGATAAGTTTTGTGGGGTGTTTTTTTCATATAAATTTGTTATTTTCAAAATGAGAATCTATCATTGTTATAAAAATAAAAAAAAACTATGTAAAAATAGTATTCAGTAGGTCAAAAGGAAACGAGGCAATCCGGAGGTCAGTCCCATTCCAAAATCAATACTTTGTGTGCTTTGCCTTGAGCATGATATTTCTATACTGGGCTCCGTTTCCTTGCTGTGTTCCTGAAGCAGTGATCTAGACCAGCAGATAGTGATTCACAGTTCTCAGCTGTCCTCTTTCCAGCAATATGCTGAAACTAGTTCTGTGATATACTGTAAATTAGTTCTCATTGTAATCATCTCTCATCATATCTTTCACTTTTCTGTCACAGCACTTGGCCAAGTTTACAACTGTAAGTCAGTTGGAGTGGTTATTTGTATCAACTCTGCTTTTCACGGGGTGTACTGTAAAAATGGCAACAAAGTCTTCCCTTCCCTATATGTATGCCCCTTTGAATGTGACTGCAGGCCCTCCCGTCAAGAGATGGAGTCTATTTCATGGCATGACCATGTGACTTACTTTGACCAATAGGACATTAGCAAACATGACAAGCAGAGTCTTGAAAAGAGCTTGCGCATTGGGACTTGCTGTTTAATTGCACTTGCAACTCTGAAACCATGTGTAAATGAGTCTAAGCTGCTGGAGAATGAGGAGCCACCTGGAAGAGAACCTGGGGACCCCAACCAACTATCAGACATGTGAGCAAGGCCATCCTGGATTATCTAATTTGTAGTCGACCCACTAGCTGACCACAGTCACATAAGGCAGCCCAGCACAGATCATCCAGGCTACCCCAAACCCGAAGAACCACCCCTTTGACCTACAGAATTGTGGGCTAAAAATAGTTGTTTTGAGGTGGTTTGTCTTGGGGTGGTTTGTTACTCAGCAAACGCTAGCTGATGCAGATTACCTTTTCATTGAAAGGTTATTTGGAGCAGAGAAGCCACATCTAAATTAAGAATGTAAGATTCTCTAGCTAACAATCTTCCTTAAAGTAAGGAGTACACAGGCAAGGAAGATTTCTGCTATTGGATAATCAGAGTAGGAACAAGATCTATATTGGCAGAAATTATCTAATTCCATAGGGCTAGACCAGCCGTGAGCAAACTACGGCCCGCGGGCCGAATCCGGCACGTTTGAAATGAATAAAACTAAAAAAAAAAACAAAACTGTACCCTTTTATGTAATGATGTTTACTTTGAATTTATATTAGTTCACACAAACACTCCATCCATGCTTTTATTCTGGCCCTCCGGTCCAGTTTAAGAACCCATTGTGGGCCTCGAGTCAAAAAGTTTGCCCACCCCTGGGCTAGACAGTCCTTGGTAATGTCCCTTTCTCAGAAGTTAGTTCCTCCAGTGTATAGGCAGCATTAAGCCCCTCATTTTAGGATTCATCCTGAATGTAAAGGGAAATACTAAAAGGTAACTGAAGCCCGGCCAGTGTGGCTCAGTGCTTGAGTGTCGACTCATGAACCAGGTCATGTTTCAGTTCCCAGTCAGGGCCCACCCCTGCGTTGCAGGCTCAATCCCCAGTGTGGGGCATGCAGGAGGCAGCCGATCAATGATTCTCTCTCATCATTGATGTTTCTCTCTCTCTCTCCCTTGCCCTTCCTCTCTGAAATCAATAAAAATATTTAAAAATAAATAAATAAAAGGTAACTGAATCCACCATGTCTGGATATGGGGTTAGATCGCCCGAGGGCATTTCCCTGAGAGCCATTACTACACCTCAGACCCCTCTCAGGTACAGTGGAGAGCAGTGGCCATCTCCTATCCAGTGACACTTCTGTTTTACCCTCAGATGATACCAGTTTCCAGAAGCCCGCCACTGGAGGTAACTTCCACCCAGACTCCATTCGGTGAGCGACCCTAATGTGAATATGTCTGTCTAGCTTCCAGATTGGAAGAAAACCCACCCGAGCTGGGATGCATCCAATCAGAAAACACTGAAAACTGAGGGAAAACTGTAAAGTTCTAGGAAAGCAGGTCCTTCTCCCAAGAGCTTTGAGGAAATGGCATCATTTACAAAGGGAGCGTGGCCCCACCGTGGAGCCCGCGCTTAGCGTGCCTGGGCTAACGGTCCCGAGGGCCTTCGTGGAGCCTCGGCCGCTGGGGTCAGTGATGAGTAAGCTAAGGCAGCTCCCTCGTGTGGGAAACGACCTGGCGTGCTTTTGTCAGGATGAATGTGTGCACACCCCACAACCCAGCACCCACTGCTAGGCTTATACCTTCAAGGAATGTGGACCTGCTCACCAGGTGACAGCTCCACAATGTTCGAAGCAGCCTTGTTTGAAATGGCCAAACACAGGAAACCCAACCGCCTCTCAGCAGGAGAGTCAATTTTTAAATTGTGACGTAGTCGCACACAGGAATATTTTACAACCATTTAGAGTTCATAAAACTTGGTTAAGAAAGTAGGCTCACATCCTCAAGTTGTTCCAAACACGGGTAATAATTTTTTAGTAATGGAACCGAGTATCCATTTTAACTTGAACTTTAAATGAATTAAGATTTTAAAAAATTACAGTTTCATGTGCTCAGCCGCACTAGCCAGGTTTCCAGTGCTAACAGCCACAGGTGGCCGGGGCAGCCACACCCGGACAGCACAGCTCCGGACTCTTCAGTGCTGTCTCTCCTTCTTCCCTTCAGCAAATTCTGTCAACCTTTTCCTCAGAATATCTCTCACCATCTACTCTTTGTTCCTTTTCAATTCAACCAACTTTTACCACCATTAAAATTTTAATTTTTACCACTATAAGATCATATAAATTATACTTCCACTAAAAATCTAATTCTAACAGCCAGCTTTTATATATATTATTGATTTTTTACAGAGAGGAAGAGAGAGGGATAGAGAGTTAGAAACATCGATGAGAAAGAAACATCGATCAGCTGCTTCCTGCACACCCCACACTGGGGATGTGCCTGCAACCAAGGTACATGCCCTTGACGGGAATCGACCTGGGACCCTTCAGTCCTCAGGCTGACGCTCTATCTACTGAGCCAAACCGGTTAGGGCTAACAGCCAACTTTTACTGAGTATTTACTATGTACCAGGAACTATTCTAAGCAATGTTCATATGTTAACTCACTTAACTGTCATACTATAGTCATTAAGTGGACTCTATTAATATACCCATTTTAATGATGAAGAAACTGAGGCAGGAGGAGATTAAATAAATTTCCCAAGGTCATAGTAATTGAGTGGAAGAGCTAGAAATTGAACTGAAATAGTTTTATCCAGATCCCACACTGTACCACTATTCTGTTTCTCTCTCACAAATATAACCAAAAAAATGATAGAGTGACCCTGTCCAGGTGGCTCAGTTGGTTGGAGCGTTGTTCCGTGCACCGAAAGGTTGTGGGTTTGATTCCCAGTCAGGGTACATACCTAGGTTTTAGGTTCCATCCCCAGTGAAGGTACATGTAGGAGGCAACCAATCAATGTTTTTTTCTCTCCCCCTCTCTCTAAAAAAGAAAAAAAAAAGTCTACAATAATTTATTTTTTTAAAAAAATGATAGACAGGATTATAGGTGATTTTTACTATCTTCTTTTCATTTATCTATATTTTCCAATTTTTCTGCAAATGAAAGGTGTCACTTTTGCTATTTAAAAATCTTTTTTGAAGTGAAGTCAGATAGCTGTCAGAGTTTCAGTATACTCTTACTCTGAGCCAGGAGAATGGACAAAACGCCTTCGTAAATGCCTTCAGACCTCCAGGAGCTGTTCTTCTGTAGCCCCTTTGGCAATAAACAAAACATCCCGTCTTGCCACCCTGTAAGTGCCTCATGACAATCGGAGAATTTTAATTTTCTCTCTTCACCAAATATGGCAGGATGTTTTAAACATCCAACCGTGATGGTTCCCGAGGAGTCTGCTCCCAGCCTCTGGCCTGCCTCAGCCGTGTTTGCTTCATGCTCATGCTAACCCACTCTCAGCAGGATTCTCCACTTCGTTTCTGACCTTCCAACCTTGATTTCTGGTGGACCCACACCCACTCCACATTTCAGCCACCTCGTCTTCTTGCAGTTTTTAGACTCATATATATTTCCTGCCTGTGGACCTTTCCTCAGGCCCCTCCCTCTATCTAGAAAGCACCTTTCCTCCATCTCTACCCTTGGAAATTCTACTGATAATTCCAGGTCAAGTACCTACTGTTTAGATAGGTCTTCTTTTCCTGTCAACCTCTATCGTGCCACTCCTGCATTGTTTGCCATCAGTTAACCTTATCTCATCCCTTATATGTCATTATTTGTATATTTACCTTTTCTGCCTACCATTATTTCTTATGCATCTATGACATGTCAAGACTATGTACTAGGCACTTAATATGTTATCTAATTTAATCCTCACAACAGCCTCTGAGATAGGTATTACCATCCCCATTTTACAGATTGGTAATCTGAGGCTGTCAGAAGTTTAATCAACTTGCTCCACTAGCATCCCTACTAAGTGGGATCACTCATTCAACCAATTTTATTCCAATCTACGTCTGCCAGATTCCTCAGCCATCTGGGCTTTTCTGGGTAGGTTGGGAAGGCCATTTGGGGGCAGTTAGCACTGGAGCCTTAGGACCAGGCAGATGTATTAAAAGCCGTGTACTGCTTCTCTCAAATTTGATTTGGGTTCATCGTGCTGTAGGAAATGGTCGGTCCTTGGGCTCTCAGTCAGCACTTAGCCTGGGCTAGCACAGGACGAAAGAAATGATTCGTGAAGACAAACTCCATTCAGGAGGTTTAGTTCCACTGGCGACCCTGATGATTGGAAAACTGAAAGGAATGCCAAGCCCCAGCTCAGGGTTAGAAATCTAGAATTCCCTGGTTTAAGGAGTAAGAAAAGCGTTTAGGCCGCAGCCAAACCTCTCTGTTCCCTGACGAGATCCAGAGCGATGCGTCAGGTTTCAGAAACAAGGCTGGAGCAGCCCTGTTATCATGAGGGTCAGCTTTGGCCTGATAAGAGTCCTACCACAGACACAAAATTCACATGCAGATTCAGCACAGAGAAGGGCTAGTCTACCCTGAATTGGTTTTTCACCATTTAGGGTTGGAAGCTCCAAAACTAGTTGGGTCAGTTCATATTGCCAAGCGAAGACTGTTATGATAATGAGTTTATCCGCTTCCTTATTGATTTGGAGTGGAGGGTGTTCTGCCGCCACTGTTTGCTCAAGGAGTGCAAACAGGACCTGCTGACTCCCGTGACTAATGGGCATGAGTCCTGAGCCACTTTCACTGTGGCCTGGGGTGTGGATCGAATGGTAAAGAAGCCCACTGGGAAAGGGGGTTAGGTAACTCTAATTTGTGCTTTATTTGTATTTTCCCTTTAGTCCTCAAAGCAATCCTTTTTGAGGTGGGTGTTACTGAAATGCCCATCCTACAGATCCAAACACTGGGTGGGAGGCCACAGGCAGGGACTGGAGCGCTGAAATGTTGAGTCCCACAGCTCTGCCCTAAGCTCACTTGCGGTGGCAAGATCCTTCACTCAGGCAAATGGCAGTCATTCAAAAGGGCTAAAGGCAAAATGTGTAACCCAGTTAGAGTTCTCAAGCATCGATATTCGTCCCTGCCTCCAAACCGAAATGATACAAAATGTTCAATCTCTTAAATGTCTGCAATTTGCACGTTGACAAGGATCTCAACAAGCAGTGGCAGTTGAACTGTAAGATTCTTACCTGCCACTCAGGGGACTCCCATGTTGGATTCTTAGGCAAGTGGGCTTGTTGGGACTGTTTGCCTTAGTTGGCTCAAGTCCATAGGCCACCAAGGCCAGTCAGCCACAGTCACTAACAAAACCATGCTGTTCCCAGCTCTATCTTAAACAGGAGAGAAAGTGGCTGGGTGGAAATGGGATTGTATATGGGATGGCCCAGGGCTGGTAGTCACTGGGATTGGTAAACATTTTCAAAAATCATACTGACTTGTGTCGTATTCATGAATGAAGTCAAACATCTGTACTCACACAAAAATTCTCTCCTCTCTCCCTCCCTACTTCTTCACGGTCTGTTATGTTGTAGACAGTCTATGGTTAGAACACCATAATAATAAATTTCCATATGGGTTGGGGTTGTGGTTGCTAAACAATTAGTACTGATAACTTTAAAAGAAGTATTTCAACTCCTCTTCCTAATATGTCAAGGTATCGGGGTCTGATCCCCACTCAGGGCATATACAAGACACAGCCAATAAGTGCATAAATAAGTGGAACAACAACAATAACATTTCAACTTCTCAAAACCTTAGCCAAGTATGACATTTTGGGTTATTTTTGCATAGATATATTATGAATTCTTTCACATTTCTCAGAAACTAAAGGACAACGTTTGTTTTGCCTTCCCCAATGCAGTTCTTATATTTCTTGCTGCCTCTGCCATATGGTTAAAAAAACACACGTTACTCAGAGCACAACCAAATATTATTATTTCAATATTATAGAAACGACTGAGTTTTGTTACTCAATACCTTTTTGTACCTCTCCAAAAAGAATGTTCAAAAGGCACTTTCGGCCGAAAGGCATTCACTACCTATCGTCTAAATTATGTTGACAACATTTTGGAAGCACCTTGAGAAAGACGTATGACCTATGACAGGCGAGTCAGAGAAGGATAGTCGGGATTAGCGGAAAGTGAGATGTCACAGGACTCAGTCTGGCCACAGGCGGACCATGTGCTGACAGGAGCGCTAAGCCAAGTGCAGGGGGAAGCAAAGCTACAAGGAGGCTCTACCTTCAGCAGCCAGCAAGGTGACTGGGTGCTGGATAGGAGGGGGGAGAGGGGACGAGACCTTTCAGTGCCTCTCCTACGTCTCCTGCTTTCACACTCCTTCTGAAGCCAGATAAAGGCACAAGGACTCCCATCCGCTCCTT